CTTGATGCTGCTGGTCCCCGAGTCACACTGCAAAATGAGGGTTTAAACCCAAGTCTGGGGATACACCTTGGCTGGAAGTGATGGCCCTGTCTGTAAGTGGCTAGCTAGGTGCCCTGCGCTAAGTGGCAAGCTGCTGCTGTCAGAATTGTTAGCTGAAGCCGAGACGGGCGGGAGAGAGATGGAGCCAGGAGCTGCCCCGCTGCTGGTCTCAGAGACAGGCTCTGGGGCATGTGAACCAAGTGCTATAGACCAGGAGTCCTCTGCCCCTGACAGTCCTCTGGCCGCTGCACGGACCTTTCCTTTTCTCTCTGACATTAGGGCTGACTCCACCAGGGAGAGGCCCGTGTAGGTTAACGAGCCGGTGTCATGGTTGTCCTTCTTGTGTTGAGGGGTAGGCTGTTGAGTCACAGAAAAGTCGGGGAAAAGATGATACCCGGGTGGGTGTCCCAAAGGTAGATGGCTCAGAGGAGCGAGCCTGCAGGCCCTGTTAGCCTAGGGATGCTGCGATGGGAGGGTAGCAGGAGGGAGGAGGATGCCAGCGCTAGGGTGCTGAGGTTTAGAGGCCTGGGTGTGAGCATTAGGAGCCCTCGGCAGGGAGGCACAGCCTGCACAGGGACTGGCACAGTCCATGCTCTGGCATGCGGCCAGCGCAGATGCCAGCCTGCTCCACGTCCTCACTCCAGGACTGTGCGATGTTCCAGCATCCCATGGCAGACTGGGGACCCGGCATAGCTAAAGCGTGCATGTGCCATGTCACCCTCCATTCCATCTCCCAGAGTACTCATGAAGCTTGTCCGTGGGACTTGCCCCAGGGTGATGGCAGAGCGCCCCACGACGCAACACCTTCACCTGAAGACTGCTAGTTTTGCTTAGGTACTTTCCATCAATTGCTAAACTCCCAAGTGTCAGATCGCTCTTATAATGTCTTTAAAGTGTCTTCATGACAGGCTTCCTATGAATAGGTTTAGATTAACCATGCCCTCTAACTAGCTTGCTGCACTTTTGTACCTCCCCAAAGCAAAAATCGGTTATGTATATTTGTGCACATGTATTTAAAGTTTATTGATTTATTTCTTCCATGAGTGAGACAGAGAGACAAGCACAGGGACCCGATGCCATGATTTGCCCTAGCCCTTGGCCAGCCCCAGATCATGGGCACACGTGTGTGGCATGGTCAGGGAGAGCTCTAGGACCTTCCCATGTGGGTCAGTCTCCCGGAGCAGTGTGTCACCACTATGCCACCATCTAGACCCTGATTTCAAATTTTAAACACCAGAGCAAGTTGTGCTTAAGTGTTCAGTGATGCTTTTCTTTATCATGGTTCATGTCACTTAAAGGTAGGTGTAAAGATTGCCTTATGGGGACCAGCAGTTAGCGTAATGGCTATGTTTTTTAACTCCCATGTAGCCAACCGCAGTTTGAGTCCCGGATCCAGTGGCTTAAACTAACGCCGGGTGCATGTGCGTGCATGCGTGCCCAAGATCCCGAGAGGAGAATGGAGGAGAAGGGATTGCGATGTGGCCATATCCCTGGGGGGTGATTTCTCGCTTTCTGTCTCTCTGTCTCTCTGGCGAGTGCACGCGCCCTATAGCAAAAACAAAACAAAACAAACAAACAAACAAAAAAAGCTCTCCAAAAAAATAAAAAGATTGCCTTATGAATGAGGCATTTTTTTTTAACAGTTGTTTAAGTAGGAATGAGTTTGTTTTAAAATAATGTAATCAGCAGATTTTAAAACATTTATTCAGTCCCTCAATTTTTAAGCAAAGGTTAAAATTTAAAAAGGAAAGTAATGAATGTCACAGAACCCACGACCTATTGTGTAGCTGCAGGCACACCTGCTCGGAGATGGCTTACTGATTTTGCTGAAAGCCATTACCGTAATCAAGTGGGAAGCAGTAATTGTCATCAGCCATTAGAGAAGATGTTCAAGCCTGCCAACGGAGCACTTTCCTAGCAGCTATGTTTGGAACATCTGAAGAGGCACCACGCAGTGTAAATCATACCTATCTGCTCGCCGTCAGACCGCTTGGAGTAAGAAGTTGCTATTTACACGACTGGTGGAAAGGCCGGGAGCGTTCTGTCCTGAGGGATCGCAAAAGCTGTTTTCCTGAGGCCTGAAAAGAAGAGTCTCTGTGCTTTGGTGGAGAAATTCATTTTCTATATTTGAGGAATGATGTGCCCTTTTATGAATTTACAAATATGGCATTAGCGTTTAGCTAGAAACACTCCTGTAACGGTTTCACTTTTAGAGGACGCAGGAACAAAGATTATACACAGATAGATCTAAGGTACTTTTGATAACAAAAGAATGGTAAATAAGAATTTTTTCTTACACATCACATTTAAAGTGGTAGCAGTTCCCCACGTGAAGCTGAAAATGTCTCGTTCTGGAATACCAAAGCACAGCCGTTGTCTTTATTGGAGAGCAATGAGTTGGGGCCACCTAGGCAGGGTGGCCCTCTTTGCTGTCCCTATTAACGCAGGCCATGTGTGACCCTTGGACAGATTCTGATAAATGGGCTTTACCTCTTGTTGCCGTTTGCAGACGCGAGACTCTTTCTGTACTCTGCAGGCACCAGGCCCTTCTTGTCTTAAGGTCTGCAATTAAGCAAGTGAGGGCTCTGGGGGGACTACCCAGCGGGAAGCCACAGAGATGATGAAAGGGATGGGAAATTAGAGTTACGGGGAAGAGTTAAGGGAACTCTCATTTTTTTTCGTCTGGTGAATGATTTAATAATGATTCTCCAGCACGTGAAAGACGCTTACTTGCAGAAAGGGCTCTCCACCCAGGACTGAGCTAGAAGATAGGTGTCTGATCTGTCAGACAAGCTATTTAGGGATAAAGGTTTCTGCCTGGGAGGGCTGTTAATTACTGGAACAGTTCATAGAGAACAATGGTGTCATCTACTTCTTTCTTCTGAGATGTTCAAATATATATATAGAGAGAAATGCATGCAGAGGGACCTGTCCCTGCCTTATTAGACAGTGAATTGCAAAAAATCTGCTTTTTCTTCTACCAAATCTTACTTTTTAAAAAATTATATCTTTGCACTGGCCACTACTGTGGTTGCTTCCAAATTCTGTTTTAACCTTTCTCATTAATTACCGATCTTAGGGAAGCATCTTTAATGAACAGGATGATAGAGTGTTACCCCCCTGAAAGCTTAGTCACTATAAAGCAGGAGTTCTGGCACTAACACTATTGATATTGTGGCTGGCTCTCTCTGTGCTGGGGCTGTCTTGTCCACAGTAGGGTGCTGAGCAGCGTTCCAGCCTCTACCCATTAGATGCCTGGAGCACTGCCCTTCCTATGTCAACCTAGAATGTCTCTAGACAATAGTGGATGTTACCTGAGGGCAGGGACAAAATTGTTCTTTGTTGAGAACCATTGCTCTAAAGCTACCCAGTAGGATGTGTATTATTTCCAGTCTTTTACAATTTCTTGGCCTGTCTTAGTGTTGTAAAATGTGTCTTACCGGGACCAGCAGTTAGCGTAATGGCTGAGTCGCTGGACTCCCATGTAGTCAATCGCGGTCCAAGTTCCGGATCCAGTGGCATGAACTCATGCTGGGCACATATGCGTGCGTGCCCAAGATCCTGAGAGAAGAATGGAAGAGAAGGAACTGCGGCGTGGCCATCCCCTCCAGGGGGTGATTTCTCACATTCTGTCTGTCTTTCTGGCAAGCACAAGCACCCTATAGCAAAAAGCTCTAATAGAAAAAACATGTCTTACCAACACTATTAATTGACCTCTGTGCATCTGACATTCTGAACATACTGCTGCTGAAAAGTCGAATGTCAAGTCAAATAACCTTAGCAAGCACTCATAAAGTGTACATCATTATTTGGGAGTTGCGACCATTGAGAGTAGATCTAGTAGACTGTATGACACCCTTCTACGTTGAAGACAGTTTTAAAAACAGTTGAACTTCAAAACATTTAAAAATGAAATTGATCTTATTTTCAAAGAGTAAAAGCAACAGGACATGTGTGATCACCAGAGAGTGAGAGAGAGAAAGTGAGAAATCACCCC